AAAAAAAAAAAAAAACTGAACAATTAAAAATGACAAGTCAGTAAGGGAAATTTTTAATATGGTCTGGTTTAACAGGTTTTAAACAAGAGGTTAATAATCTCCCTATCAGAGTCCTACTTTAAAACTATTTACGTGCTATAAAATACAGCAAAAAATTCCCAGCTTTATTATGTCAAATTTTGGGGGCAAGTAAGAGACAAATGGAAGGCATAAAACAATACTGGTGAGTCAAAGACTTATTTATTTTTGACACATGGTCTCACTATGCAGTTTGGGCTGGCCATGAGCTCACTTTATAGCCCAGGCTGGTCACAAACTTACAACAATCCTCCTGCCTCAGCTTCCTGAGTGTGCTGGGATCACAGGCGTTTGCCACCACACCCAGCAAAGACTTTAAAACAATGAAAACACATGTTGTTTAATGAGTAGATTTATTCTTTGTAACTCCAGAGAACAAGGTCAGAGCATTTGTAATACTTACTAGGTTTTATATCCATGTGAACCAAAGACATTGAATGAATGTATCTTAAACCCCGGCCAACTTGCACAAGGAGATCCTTCAACTCTAGTTCTTTAAAGTAACTCATGATTCTGTAGTTTTCACTTATAGCATCAGCTAAACTTCCACCTAACAAAAACAGAAAAAATTAATTTTCTTATTTCTGGAAGACTTATTCTTCTTCCTTCTCTCTATTGAATGATCCTTGTCTCAACAAAGAAAGTGACAATTTATAGGAACTCTACTTTCAACCCGTTTGTGAAATCATATTCGCATTTATTTTGCTAACAGGTTATGTATTCTTAAGGATAGAAATACAATTTAAGGCTGGGGATTGAACTCAATGGCACAGCACTTGCTTGGCAAGTGCAAGGTCCTTGAGCTAGAGTCCTGTCACAAAAAAAAAAAAAAATTTAAAAATCTCTCTCACCCTTAAACCCCAACAACTTACCTGGTGCTTTTTCCCAGAATAGTTGTACACCAACATTACCAGCTTCTTATGTATTTGCAGGGCGAGGGGGAAGCATACTGAGGAATGAATCCAAGGCCTTTGCACTGAGCTACATCCTCAGCTTTTTCCGTTAAGACAGGTCTCACTAAGGGGCTTACTAAGTCACTACGTTGCCCAGCCTAAGGTCAAACTTTTGATCCTTCTAGACTGCTGGCATTATAGATAGCACTAGCTCTTTTCTTGTTTTGGGAAACAGTCTTGCTGTATAGGCTAGCTGGCCTCAAACTTGTATTCTACCTGCCTCAGTGCTGAGATTACACCTGTGTACCACCACACTCATCCTTATTTTATTTTTTTTGTGCCAGGAGTCAAACTTAGGACCTTGTACTTGCTAGGCAGATACTGTACCACTGAGTTCTATCCCCAGACCCCTTCTTATGTAATTTTTTCAACAAGTTTTTTTTTTGGTTTTTCTCCGGTACCGGGAACTGAACTCTCGACCTTGCGCTTGCCAGGCAGGCGCTTTGCGCCTGAGCTAAATCCCCAGCCCCCTGGTTATTTTTTTTTTTTTCCCTTGGAAGATAGGGTCTGGCTATGTAGCCTAGGGTGGCCTCAAACTCTGGGAAATTGTCCTGCCTCAGCTTTCCAAATGCTGGGATTAGAAGTCTACACCACCACACCCAGCTTAAAGTGAGTTTTGGGGGGTTTTTTTTGTCTTTTTTTGAGGCAGGGCCTACCTATGCAGTTCAGGATGATCTTGAGCTCACTTTGTAGCCCAGGCTGGTCTTGAACTCACAAGGATCCTCCTGCCTCAGCCTCCCGGAGTACTGGGATTACAGGCATGGGCCACCACACCCGCCTTAAAGTGAGCTTTAAACTCTCCTTTACCAGCCAGGCATTGTGGTGGCGCAGGCCTCTCATTCCCACAGAGAGGCTGAGGCTGAGGCTGAAGAAGAGGATCACAAATTCAAAGCCAGCCTGGGTTACATAGTAAGTTCAAAGGTAGCATGAAGAACTTATGGAGAAACTGTCTCAAAAACAAACAGCCAGGACGGGCGTGGTGGTGCATGCCTGTAATCCCAGCACTCGGGAGGCTGAGGCAGAAGGATCATTTCGAGGGAAGCCAGCCTACATAGGGAGACCCTGTCTCAAAGAAGACAAAAAACAAACAAACAGCCAGGTGTGGTAGCATATGCCTGTAACTCCAGCAGTCAGGAGGCTGAAGCAAGAGGACTGCTCCCCACCCCGAACTATAAAGGAAGACACTGTCCCCCCCCAAAAAAAAAAAAAACCAAACAAACAAGAACAACTAAAAAAACAAAAAACCAAATTCTGTGAGGTGTGATGGTGCATGCCTACAATCGCAGCACTTGGGAGGCTGAGGCAAGAGGATCTGATTGTTGCAATCTCATCGTTGCATTTGAGACCAGCCTAGGCTACAAAGTGAGCTCAAGGCCAGCCTGAACTGCACAGTGAGACCCTGTCTCAAAAAGACAAAATACAGAGGGCTGGGGATTTAGCTCAGCAGCACAGCAGCCTGGCAAGCGTGAGGTCATGAGTTTGATTCCTGGTACCGAAAAAACAACAACAACAACAAAAAAAGACAAAATACTAAGAAAAATTCTGGTGTCTAGGGAATGGTAATGTATTAATCATCCCCTAATTAATGACCATTTAAGTTTTAGTTCCAAGCCATTTTCTTTTTCAAGGCCCTTTACATTTCTTTTGTGACTCACTCTTACTTTGTAGTCCAGACTGGCCTTGAACTATGTAACCTAATCTGGTCTCAAACTCCTGGCCATCCTCTTGCCTCCACCTCCCAAATTCTGGGATTAGAGGCACAAGCAACCATGACCAGCTCTTTCTAAGCCTTTATTACTGCATTACTTGGCCAAACAGATACCTTATCATCACTTACTTCATCAGCATGGAGCATCTGCTAGAACCAAAGCTATTGCATAAAAGAGAATATCCATTTTTTTTGGTTTGTTTTGGTTTGGTTTTTTTGGTCTTTTTGAGACAGGGTCTCACTATGCAGTTCAGGCCAGCCTTGAGCCCATTCTGTAGCTCAGGCTGGTCTCGAACTCCCAACAATCCTCCTGCCTCAGCCTCCTGAGTGCTAGGATTACAGGCGTGCACCACCACACTGGGCATCCAGCCGTTTTTAATTTTTACTTTGAGGGAGGAATTGCTAAATGGCCCAGGCTGGCATGGAATTTGTGATCCTCATGCCTCAGCCTCCCAAGTAGCTGGGATTACAGGCATGCGCCACCACACCTGGCAAGATAGCAACGTAATTTTGATGGTGTGATTAGAAACGTTTCAAGGACGTAAAACAAACTACCCACAATGCTGTATACTGAACACTCAAAGTACTTTCAAGTGTAATGAATAACACAATGAAAAAGAAACAAAAAGACACAGTGAGTTTAAAGCTTAGAAATGGATCTTTTGTTTTTTCCTTTGTAAAAATGGAGGACCTAAATACCCCACCTACAGTTTTATTCAGAAGCCATGAGATTGCTAGTATTAATATTTAAGGAAAAACAGTAAATCCATGTTTTTTCCAGTGTTTACTAAACTCTAAATTCTCTTTTATAGGAGATAAACAAATAAAAATAATTACAGGGCTGGGGATTTAGCTCAGTGGCAAAGCACCTGCCTGGCAAGCTCAAGGTCGTGAGTTCGATTCCCAGTACTGGAAGAAAAACTACAAAAACAACACCAAAACAAAAAAATAATAATAATTACATAGAAACATGTGGGTATATAAGAGCAGATTCCTAAAAAGATCAGAAAGAATTCAGACCAGGACTTTGTTAAGGTTTAATGAAGAAAGAAGGATACCAGACAGTCCTTGAAGAGCTTAGGGAAACAAAGCTACATGAAAATCTAAAGTGTACTGTTTCAACTTGGGGAGAGAGGGAAGAGAACAGACCAGCTAGAAAATTAAGAGCATAATTTACTTAACAGAAAAATGGTGGATTCTTGCTATACAGATGGTGGGATAAAGATGGTTGGGTAGATGGTGGGATAAAGATCTCAGTGTGTGTGAAGTAACGGCTAAATTAAGGTTCATGAAGAGCCTCGGTTCTTTATGAGTAATCAACACTAGTATTAGAAGCACAAAATTAAACAGAGCCAGGCATGGTAGCACATGCTTACAATTACAACTACTCAGGAGGCTAAAGCAAGAGCACATCACAAGTTTAAAAAAAAAAAAGAGCAACACAAGTTCAAGGCCACCCAGTAGGCAAGTTAGCCAGATTTTGTCTCTTAATAAAATTTAACGAGGGCTGGCATGTCTCTTAGTGTTGACTATTTTGCCAGGATGCACAAGGCCCTGGGCTCAATACCCAATACTGCCCCAAGAAAAGGAAAAAGGTAGATGCAGTGACAATCCATTAATTAAACATCAATGCTACGGTATCCTTCAAAGTTCATATATGGGAAACTTAACCCTCAATACAACAATCCTGGGAATTGGGGCCTAATAAGAAGTAAACAGGTTATAAGGGTTCCACTTTCAAAAAACAGATTATTTTTATCACATGAATAGATGTTTTTAAGAAGGTAAATTCAGGGGGCTGGGGATTTAGCTCAGCGGCAGAAGCGCCTGCCTGGCAAGCGCAAGGTCGTGAGTTTGGTTCCCGGTACTGGAGAAAAACCAAAAAAAAAAAAAAAGAAGGTAAATTCAGCTGGGCGTGGTGGTGCACGCCTGTAATCCCAGCACTTGGGAGGCTGAGGCAGGAGGATCATAGCGAGTTCCAGAACAGCCTGGGCTACAAAGTGAGTTCAAGGCCAGCCTGAACTGCATAGTGAGACCCTGTCTCAAAAAGACAAAAAAAAAAAGAAAGAGCTGGGCATGGTGGCACACACCTGTTATCCCAGCACTCGGGAGGCTGAGGCAGGAGGATTGTTGTGAGTTTGAGACAGGCCTGGGCTACAAAGTGAGCTCAAGGCCAGCCTGAACTGCATAGCAAGACATTGTCTCAAAAAAGAACAAAAAAAGGGCTGGGGATTTAGCTCAGTGGCACAGCACCTGTTTGGCAAGCACGAGGTCGTGAGTTCAATTCCTGATACCAGGGGAAAAAAAAAGATCAAAAAAAAAAAAGAAGGCAAATTCAAGCTTCTTTTGCCCTTTTGCCTTTCACCACAGCATGCTGTACATGAAGGCCCTAATCAGATGCCAAGGATATGCCCTTGGACTTTGTAGCTTCCAAAACTGTGAGCCAAATAAGTTTCTGTTCATTATAAATTAGCCAGTCTGAGACATTACAGCAGCAGAAAATAAACCTCAAACTTTTTTTAGAGGGGTGCTTGTTTCTTGAAACAAGGTCATGCTATGTAGTTCAGGCTGGCCAGGAACTCAGTGATCCTATTGCCTCCGTTTCCCAAATGCTAGGATTACAGGCATGTGCCAACACGTCCAGCTGACTTAAGACAATCTTAACTACTATGTGCCCCACACACTATGCTAGGGCATCAGAATATACATGGGAGGGCCACCATCCTCTCAGGAAGCTTGGTTTAATCTGAGTAACAGGCCTGTAAATAATATACAAAATTCTACCACTAAAGCATGTGTAAGACCCTTCACAAGGAACAAGGATTTAACCATCCGCACCTGTAATTCATGTCAGGTCTCTGATCTCTGAGAGTTTGTAAGAAATGGAGACACAGCCAGAGAGACATGTACAGGAACAGATAAACAGAGGAGAAAGCCACAGGAGAAAAATTTGAGATGTTACTTTGTTGCTCATTTTCTTAGGCTCACTAGTTTATAAGCAAACCATTGTATTACTCACCATTACAATACTCATTCTGTATAAGCATATGATCATCTTCTGCCCAGGCAGAAAAGTAGCGAACCACATGGGAATGCTGTCCAAGCACTGCATGAGCATATACTTCTCTCAAAGCATTCTGCCTAAGAAAAATGTGATTAATAGAATGATACATCACTTTTACTCAAGAATAAACTGAAGCTAGGCATGGTGGCACACACCTGTAATCCCATCACTCAAGAGGCTGAGGCAGGATTGTTGCAAGTTCGAGACCAGCCTGAACTACAGTGAGACCCTGTCTCCGAAGGACAAGAAAAACCCCAGAATTGCCAGGCATAGGGGGGTGGCACACACCTCTATAATCCTAGCACTCTGGAGCCTGAGGCAGAAGGGAGCCTGAAGCAGAAGGATCCCTCAGAGTTCTGGGCCAGCCTGGATTACAGAGTGAGTTTAAGAGTAGCACAGAAAAAAAAAAAGCAGCACAGAGGGCCGGGGATATTGCTCAGCCACACAAGTGCAAGCACAAGGTCCTGAGTTCAATTATTGGTACCAAAAAAAAAAGACAGCAAGCAGCCAGAGTACCCAGCAAGACCCTATTTCAAAAACAAAGATTTTCCAGGTACACCTGTAATACCACCACACTTAGCAGGTGGAAGGAGGAGGATCACCTTGAATTTCGGGTCAGCCTGGGTTTAACAGTGAGTTTAAGTGCAGCCTAAACTACACAGTGAGACCCTGACTCAAAAAAACAACCAAATATTATCAGTAGGAAGAAAATTTAAACTGGGCATGGTGGCGCACACCTGTAATCCCAACACTTGGGAGGCTGAGGCAGGAGGATCTTTGCAAGTTCAAGACCAGCCTCGGCTACAAAGCGAGGTCAAGGCCAGCCTGAACTGCACAGCGAGACCCTGTCTCAAAAAAAAAAAAGAAAAAGAAGAAAACCTAATGGTCCTAGGATTCAGGAAAAAAACTGCATTTTTCAAGGGTTTGGGGATTTAGCTCAGCGGCACAGCACCTCCAGGGCAAGCGCAAGGTCGTGAGTTCGATTCCCAGTACTGGAAAAAAACCAAACCAAAATACTGCATTTTTCGGGGCTGGGAATTTAGCTCAGCAGCAAAGTACCTGCCTGGCAAGCGCAAGGTCATGAGTTCGATTCCTGGTACTGGAAAACAAACAAACAAAAAAAACCCTGCATTTTCCAATAAGTTCATGGATCCTGACCAGAACTTTAGCTTAGGCTCTAATATCAGACTATACATATTCATGTTACTGGGGCTGGGGATTTAGCTCAGCAGCATAGCGCCTGCCTGGCAGGCACAAGGTTGTAAGTTCGATTCCTGGTACCGGAAAAACAAACAAACAAAAAATTCCTATTTCTTATCAAGTCTAATTAAAAAACTGTAACACCTCAATGAAAAATTAAATTCAGTATGATAACCTAAAACCTTAATGTTTGTAACACTATTAATGTTTGTAACCTTAATATTTGTAACACTATTAGGAGACAAATTATGGCAATACACAAAAATGTTTAATACATACTCATCAACAGAACCAGCCAATGGCTTTTTTGATCTCTTAATGGCATAAATGCATCCATCCAGCCTCTTCACACACTTAAATACAGAACCAAATTCTCCAGAGCCAATTTTCTCCAGTTCATGAAATTCTGTTGTATATCGTGACTTCATATTGCTTTCAGTAATTGTAATTCTCTGTAATAAAAGGGTATCCACATATAGTAAGAGACATGAAAGTTTTTTTACTGTGATACCTCTGTATAAAATTTAAAAATCATTGTACCTCATACATCAATACTTACTTAACATGTGTATTAGAATGTTAGGAAGAAAAAAAAAAGAATGTTAGGAGGTAGAAAAACAAATTTCAGGAATAATAAAAAAGCTATTTACTTTAGCTGGTCTTGTTTCATCTTCAAACTCATAATCACTGACTTCCATGTCTTCACAGGAACTAAAAAAATAGTACATATTTTTTCATCAATATATCTAACAGATAAATCAACTTCAGATTCAAAAGTACCTGTTAAGTCTACATTGCAATGAAATGAAATTTTAACGGAGAAAAGTAAAGGCATTTAATTTTGCAATCACAAGATTCAATCCAGTTGATGAAAAAGTCCTTGTAAACTTCTGAGATATGCTCGCTGATTAGAAGTCAATGGGGGGGGGGGCGCCTGGGGATTTAGCTCAGGGGCACAGCGCCTGCCAGGCAAGCGCAAAGTCGTGAGTTCAATTCCTGGTACCAGAGGGGGGGGGCACAAAACAGAAGTCAATACCACCACAAATCAGAATTAAAGCCTTTCTCAACTCTGCCTGGGCCATGCCTGGTGGCACAGGCGTGTAATCCCAGCACTCGTGAGGCTGAGGCAAAAGGATTGCCACAAGTTTGAGGCCAGCCTGGGCTACAAAGTGAGTTCAAGGCCAGGCTGAACTGCACAGTGAAACCCTGCCTCAAAAAGGCAAAAAATAGGTAAAAATAAATAAATAAATAAACTCTCTGCCTCTTTCATTTTGACACCAAATTCCCAAGGATCTAGGTTTTTTTTCCTTCCTTTCTCGCACCACTCCTTTCCTACAACTGCTTACTTCCCATCTATCTCCTGAAAAATAAGAGAAAAAATTCCAGAATACAACCAACCATGCCATTCAGTAGAAACTCAATTTTGTCAAGTGTACCAAACCAATCACAGGCGATGGGGGGACAAAACTATAGATACATGACTTACTCATTCCAATGCGCTCTCTTTCTTCCTCGACACTGTCCCGAGGAATGAAGCAACAGAGAGTCCGGGGTAAAAGGATTGATATTCACTTGAGGAGTCTGTCGTATATCATACTCTCTTTTTCCTGATTTTTCTGTGTCCATGAAAAGAGAACCCCGGAGTTTAACAGAGCTGGAATCAATTCCTCGAGCTTTGGAGAGCAAACTCTAAAGAAAGAAAAAAATAAAAATTTTAGGATCCTTCCTACAGTCAGCCTTTATCTGACCTTCAACAGGCTGTGCTCTGTTTGGCAGCACATCTAACTAACTAAACTTCAACAGGCCTTTTAAGAGGCTGAACGCACAGGTCCAAGCAACACAAGGGTTGAGTACTAGCTTAGAAGAGCCACCACCTAGCCAAGTGAGAGGTCCTAGGTTGGATCCAAAAAAGCCCCCCAAAATGCAGCGCACAAGCCTTTGCTATATTTCACACAAAATATCTCAAAAGAAAAAAAAAAAAAAAAAAAACCTGAACAGCCGGGAGTGGTGGTACACGCCTGTAATCCCAGCACTGGGGAGGCTGAGGCAGGAAGATCATTGCGAGTTCAGGTCAGCATGGGCTACAAAGTGAGCTCAAGGCCAGCTTGAACTCCAAAGCAAGACCTTGTCTCAGAGACGCGCCCCCCGCTAAAAAAAATCTCAACAGTGGCTAATATAGGAAGCAAGAGGCTAAAGCTGAAAAAAGATAGCAAAGTAAAATAAATAGGTCTCTAGTCCTAAAAGAACATTTAGGCTGACTAAAACTAAATTCATCTGAAAATAGAAAATAGTCCCATAAAAGCTTCCTTTCCTCCTCTAAGCCACCTCCGCAGGACTCCCCCCCTGGCTCCCAGGGAGCTCGCCTCGGGCAAGCCTGCTAATAAAACAGCTGGGCTGCAAAGCACAGCGTGCCGGGTTTGTGACTAACACCGAAGTCACTAGGGTCTCGCCTTTAAAGGTCCACTTCCCACATTAACCTTACAAATCCTAGGCTTGTCTTATCTCGGGCAGTGTCCACGCTTAATGGGCTGTGTGACTTCTCAAAGCTTTAGCAGCGACGGTCTGCACACTCACTGGCCATTTCCCCACGCAGATGATCCACACCTACTTCTTTTGGACAAGCAATCAACAGCCCCGTGTTCCAAATCTTCCACGCTGCCAACCAAACTGGGGCTCTGCAAACCCGCGGACGGCAACGGCCGTTTACCCGACACCGCGCAAGGTCACTTTTCAGCGCTACGTGAAGTTGTTTCTGGGTCTCTGGCATTCCAAATGCGGGGAAGGACAGCTCAGCCTCTGCCTCCGCACCCAACTCCTACCAAGGCCGCAGAGCCCGAACAGACGAGCCCGAACAGACAAGCGCAGGGCGATTTTTTTTAAAGGCCCAAACACCGTCTGCGCCCGGCCGCCCAAATTGCAGGCCCGATCGCGGCGTTTCAAAGGCGCCATCTGGCCCGGGAGTGTCGGGGGCCCCGTCGCCGCGGCTCCTCCGCCACCTGGACGCGCGGCCGCCCCTCTGCAGGGCGCAGACTTCGCGGACGCGGCCCATTGTTCGGTTACATAACCCCAACGGCCGCCGGGGCGGGCCGGCAGGGGCGCCGCCGGCCGCTCACCTTGGGCGTGTGCGGGGTGTCGAAGAGCCGCAGCTTGCGGAAGGTCTTGTGCGGCGGGGTGCCCGGCTGCTCCGGCCGCGGGGAG